CCTGGGGCGGAGGCCGCTTAATCACCTCCCGGTGCGGGGCGTGGGGGCGTCTCGCCAGGTGCGGAACGGCGCCATGGGTCGCAAAGGGCGGGAGACGCAAGCGGAGGTCCAGTCCCGGTCGCAGATCGGGGTCCCGAAGTGCTCCTGCTGGAGTTCGCCTGCGTCTGGCTCTTTGTTGGCCCTGCGCCTCTAAGGATTTCTTTCTTTTCTTCCCTCACTTATCGGATCCCTGGCCTCCGTTACTCATTTCTGACCTCCGCCTTCCTCCTTCCGCTCACCCTACATCCAGTAGAACTGGCAGCATGCAGGGGCCTGGGGTCCATTGTAGGAGCTTAAAACGAGAGTGTGACTAAACAAAAGAAGGAGAAAAGCAGGCAACCATTCATGCACTCGGTAAATATTTACTGAGGCCCTATTTTGTGCCTCAGTACCAAGACAGAGGTTCTCCGCTGCCCTGGGGACAGCTCTAAGCCGGTCTAATTGGGAGGGAGGAGGCGGTGGGCACACATGGTTTTATCTGGGATATCCCATTCATCCAACAGGCCTGGGAGGCAAATACCATATCCCCAACTGTAACAGTACTTGTTATGCTGTGGGTTCAAGCAAAATTCGCCGCAGGCGAGTGCTCAACTCGAAGGTTTATTTTTTATTTTATGTAATTATTTAGGTGAGGACGTTTCTTTGAGATCACATCTATACTAAGTAAATAATTTCTTCAGAATTTGCCCCAACCTTGAAACCTCTCCAGTCTCCGGATATCATCTCCCTCGTTGCTTGCAGCTTGATTAATGATGAAGCAAATAGTTTTCAGAGATGCAAAGCTGAATTTAATTGGTTAAGTGCACCAGTTAACATGTCGTGGCCCTCCTCCACACTTGACATTGCTGTCATTTAGAGACCCAAATTCGGTGCAGGTATTTGAATAGAAGTAGTTTGTCTCTTCAGAGAGAGGTACTGAACATCTCAGGCTGGAAATCTGCCCCAGTGATGTTTATCAAGCCTGGGGTGGTACATCCTGCAACTGGAGAATGCTCTGAGGGCCAGGTGGAATTCAGAAGCTCCAAGTATGTCAACAGGGACAAGTGAGCTGTGTTAAGCCTGAAGGACTGGAAGATCAAATTGCTCAAGGGTTCCCCAGATCACCTACCCCAAGGAAAATTCTAAATCATCTAGGCTGATCCTTTTATTCACAGAGGAGGCACAGGCCTAAGAGAAGCACTGCCCCAATTGGTCCGCCAGGTAAAGGGTAGATCCAGGTGTGTTAACTCCCTTTATGGGGTTATTCCCCTGAGTGCATCACCTCCGTGGTATTCTTTGGTGGGGGGAAGAGGGAACTGAAGGTAATTAGGGTTACTGATTTATTTTTAATAGAGGTACTGGGGATTGAACCGAGGACTCAGTGCATGCTAAGCATGTGCTCTACCACTAAGACATACCCTCCCCCGTCATGGTATTCTTGAGTCAGACCCTCGACTCCTCCAGGCTTTAGCTCCTGGTTACGGAGACTGGAGAAGGCATGAGCTTCCTACCCTCCTCGGGATAAACTGAAGTGGTCTGAATTTGATCTAAATAACCCAGGCTAAACTGCTTTAGAAGCCATCAGAAAATTACACTTCCATCTCAAAGGTCTTTGAAAACACTGCGCTTACTTTGTAATCTGTAATTTGCTTTAGATAAAGAGAGATGGAGAGGACCAGAGAACATCCTGATTGGGGCCTCTCACTGGAGCACCAAAGCCTCGTGTTGGATGAGTTTGCATTCTTTCTGAGCCCTTCAGCCGGCTCTGAGCTGTTGCAGTCAGTATTGTGGGCAGCCTCGCAGTAAAGTCTTATCCAAGAGTTATTTGAAAATCAGATAAGGAGAATGCAATGATAAAATGTAACTCCAGGAGAAGACAGTGTGTCCAGTATGATTTTTAAACTCAGGCAAGAAGGATCCTGGTCTGGGCACCCAAGCCGGTTCTCCTCTTGCTACTCCCTACCCCTTGTGATAAAATTTCTGATGAGCCAAGAGGTTGATGGACATGCCCCCTCAGCCTTCTAGATCACGCTTGTCATGAAGGACCCTGAATTTCTGGTGCAGACAGCCTGAAGCCTGCTTGGAGAAGGTGGGCAGCCTTTCACAGTCATTTAGGAGTTGCTAATGTGCACATTCCTAGGCCTCCAAGGTGTGGATGGGGCTTGACCATCCCTGTGAGCCCACCGGCTCCTCACTGTGCTGGATGGAGCCCGGGTTAGGATTAGAGGGGGAGTGGGTGTGCCCTATTTGTTAGCTTGAAGTAGCACATTTAACTCTTAGGCATATGGTATATGGACTTCCATTTGTACTCTTGCCCCAGGCCCTGCCATTGTTAGGGTGGCCCTGCACAGGTTGGAGTTCTCCTAAAAGCTAAAAGTAATAATCTCAGTTTGGAGAGGAGGGACTGATTATTCCAAGTTTTCTTGCCATGGATGTTCACCCAACATCATGGACCTAATCTATAAATTTTCCAAAAGCATTTCATTTCTCCTATTTTTCTTACTCTGAGACCATTTTCATATATTAGCTGCTGCTGTACAATGGCCCTTGGATTGCTCCCAGACCTTCTGCTAGGGCACAAGTCATCTGAAGGAGTAGGAAAGCACATGTGGAAAGGCTGGGTCTTCGTCTAGGCCTTAAAAGAAGTGACTAGTTAGAAGGGAGGATCCCAGACACAGGTGCAAGAGTCTTCCCTTTAAATATTTGTCGGTAACGGTCGGAATGGCCCAGGCCACAGGAGTCCTCTGCTCTTTGGAGCAACAAGCTCCAAGTAAGCTTTCCATCTCTGGTTTCTTTTGTTCTGTCTTTAACACACTAGACTTTCCTCCATCTTGACAGATTTTTCTCCTGACCTTGCCAGCCCCCTAGCTACTGGTTCATTGCTTTACTTCCTTTCCCTGTCAAATATCTTACATAAGTGGTCTAGGGTCATCTGGTGTCTCCCCACTGGGTCTGTCCTTGGGCCCAGTAATCTGGCTTCCATCCCCACCGTGCCAGCAGCACTGCTCTCTGGAAGGTCAGCTCACCCTTTTTCCTTCCTTGACCTCCCATCATGGAAAATGTTAAGCAATTTCCTTTGGAAACTTTCTCCTTTCTTAACCTGTAGGATAACTGATATCACACTAAGGTTTGGGATTTCAAAAAGAGCCCTGTAAAGGCTAATTATTTCCTTGTAGGAATCAAGTTTGCAATTTGAATAAGTACTACCAAATGAACCACTATAGCTGCACAGACAAAGTCTCCAGGATTTCCCTATTTAATGATAGCTTCTTATGAAAATATTTGATCATATGCTTTTTCTGTTTATATTTCTGTTATTCTATTCATATTAAAGATACATAATTTGGAAAAAATCACATAAGTGCCCTTTCCACTGAATTTTAATTTCATCAAAAACAACGTAAGTCTTTATTTTAGGGTGACCAAATGTCCCAGTATGCATAAGACTGAGGGTTTTCCCAGAATAGGAGACATTTTATGTCTAAAACCAGGGCACTCCTATGAATCCAGTACAGTTATTTAACCTGCTTGGTCTCTATCTTGCTCTCCCTTTAACTTTCGAGAGTTTAGAAAACACAGCTTCCCAGAAATGCAGGACTTTTACTTGCTTCAGCTGCTTTAGACTTTCAAAATAGTTATGATTTATTTAATTAGTACAGGCAGAGTTCATTTTATGGTGCTTTGCTTTATTGCACTTCCCAGATACTGCATTTTTCACAAATTGAAGGTCTGTGGCAACACTGCAGCGAGCAAGTCTATTGGTGCCATTTTCCCAACAGCATTTATTCACTTCATGTCTCTGTGCCACATTTTGGTAATTCTCACAATATTTCAAGCATTTTCACTATTGTCATATGTCATGGTGATCTGTGATCTTTGATGTTCCTTTTGTGATTGTTTGGGCATACGAACTGTGGCCATATAAAAGGATAAACTTAATAAATGTGTGTGTTCTGACTGCTCCAATGACCAACCCCTTCCCTGTCTCCCTCCCTCTTCTCTGGCATCCCAGAAACACAATAATATTGAAATTGGACCATTTAATAACCCTACAATGGCCTCTAAGTGTTTAAATGAAAAGAAGAGTCAATTGATACACATGCTTCATTGTCTTATTGTGAGAAATTACCACAGCCACCCCAGACTTCAGCAAACCACCACCCTGATCAGTCAGCAGCAATCAACAGCAAGGCAAGACCCTCCATCAACAAAAAGATAATGACTTGCTGAAGGCTCAGACGATGGTTAGCATCTTTTAGTAATATTTTTTAATATCAAAACTACCTGTCTAACTTTGAAGGGAAATGTGGCTATTCCTTAAGCCTTCAGTGTAAATGAGCCCTGAGGGTGGGCTACAACATTTCATGAGAAAATTTTCTTAGTTGTTTCCTTGAAGTCTGGAGAAGCCCAGTAGGTGCTGCCTTTATCATGAAAAGAGGGAAAGGGCTTCCCACATTTCTCCTTCCTTGTAATTTTTAGATCCAGTGAATATTGCTTTAAATAAACAATAACAACAAAAATGCTCCCTCCTATGTAGTTAAAGGTAAGTTAGAGAAAAAGCATGTCCATAATTTTCATCAGACCACACCCTTCTTGGTTTGGCTTTGTTGGAGGTAGAAATGGAGGAAATCAAAGGAAAAACAGAAAGAGGAAAAGGAAAGGATGTCATGATTTTAGGCTTGCCCCAAAGAAGAGGCTAGAAGTCAAGCCTTAAGAATTGCCGTAGCCT